TTTGAATTTTTTTTTACAAGTTAGTAGAATCTTACAATTTACGATTCGATTCCGATTCTACGGAACCCAAAACGATCGTACGTAAAATCCTGATTTTAACAACCTTACCCATCAGGACCCGAGGCTTTGTCCCCGTTACTGTTCTTCAGCACCTTCAAAACTCTCTCTTCTGAAAAGGGCTTTCCAACCCCTCACTATCCGTTATAGAGATTAAATCAAACTGAATACCCCCAAAAAGAGGCTACCAACTCAAAGTTTCTGTGAACACCTTCTGATGAAGAAAATTTTCCTTTGGTGCCTAGTGGATCACTGTTGTCATTACCGTTGATGAGATGATTATTTTTACTTTTTCAGTATTGCAAAGCAGAAGAAATTCATAGTGAGAAAGAAACTAGGGCTACAATACTCCAATCTGGGTTTTCCTAAATTGCTTTGCATTGTAGCCAGATTCTTATTTTATTTTATTTTTTAAAATTTTTGTTCTTGTAATATATTAGGAGGGAAAGAGCCAGTTTATAGTGTAGAGTTCTCCATCAGAATTGGAGAGGAGTGGGGTGGTTGGACAATCAATGGAGGGGAACATGCCGATAGGGGTGGGAGTTTGGAAATTCATTCGGAAGGGGTGTAATGAGTGTTCAAAGCATATTAGATTCAGGATCTGGTGTCGGAGGACGGTTTGGTTCTGGATGGGTGTTTGGTGTGGAGATGAGTCCCTTGTTTGCTTTTTCCGAGGCTCTTCAGGATTGCAATGGTTAGGCACGGTTCAGATGCTAACTATTATCAGCTTGATATCAATAGAGTGACTTGGGATGTTGATGTAGGACAAAAGAGAATCCTTGAATAGCTAAGAACTCAAACATTTCAGAGTCTGAGAGTTCTAACAACTAGGGCTGAAATTTGGAGGTGTGATAGCAGAAATGTAGAAAATCAAGGAGAATAGAATAAGAGCTGCCTCTTGGCATCACACCAACAGGGTCAGAGAAACATATTATGGTTCAAGAGAGAGAAAGGATTTGAAAATAAGAAAAAGCCTATTGGCATTACACTAATAGAAAACAAAAACTTATTGAAATCACTCCACCAGAGCTTAGGTAGCACACCTAGAGAAGGCCTCACACCCTCAGAATTTGTGGATCACTCACAAAGAAATCTCAAAGATATTTTTATTCATTCATTGACTGCCTCACAAAGTTTACATCATACCCTTCTTATAGCTATTTATGACCCTGATATTACCCTTAATTAAGGCAATCAATATTTGACTCTAACATGATAAAAGTAATCACCCCATAATTGAGGTAATCAATATTTGACTCTAGGATTACCCCATAATTGAGGCAATTAATTGACCCTTGGATTACCCCATAATTCAGGTAATCAATACTTACTTAATAGCATAATTAAAGTAATTAAAAGTTGACAAAATCTCCAAATTATTCAAACTCCATGTGGACCCACATTATCTAGCCTATCGAATCTTCGAATCCTCTTTTTGGCGCCTTTTATACACCTTTAAAGATTTCTGCCATTAATCTCCATCGGATGTGTTTTTTGAGAGGCAATTCCAGAATTAGGAGTTGGCGGATGTTGGCAATCTCTTGGCCTTGTTGTAAATTCAAAGAGTGGGAGAGGAAGGCTCTGATGAGTTGAGCTATGTGGGTACTTGTCATGGGATGTTTGAGGTAAGATCATTTTGTAAGAGATTGGTGAATGTCAGGGAAACCGTGCTTTGGATTGCCTCAGATTCCACGAAGAGCATGCTTAAGGCGTGGCGTGGGTGTATAGTAGGTTCGCATGCCCGAGATGCTTAAATTACCACTCTCGGGAGCAAAATAGGTGATCATTTGATGGAGTGGAATCTCTTATTTGCGCGTTGAAGCATTCAATGTTAATTCTATATTCTTTTGGGATAAGAAGAAAATTTGTAAATCAATAGATGATTATATGGATTTTGTGGATAATTTTGACTTATTGATGGGCTTTTTGAGCTTTTTGTGTAGTTCTTAGACGCGCTCTCCTTTTGAGCACTTATTAATGAAACTTTACTCCAAAAAAAATGAGGAGGAATGTCTTGCAAATTTTATTTTTATTTTTTTTTTTTTTCTTTTTTTTGACAAGTAAAATTTCATAAAACACGCTCAAAAGGGGAGTGCTACCAACAAAACAAAAGCCATTCAGGATGCCCCTATAGCTTTAAGCTATCAACAAAATCCAAAAGACAATCCATAGAACTACAATCCCGCCCATTAACCCAAAAGAATAAAGAAGTAAGAATATTGTATTTAAGAGCCCAAATGGGAGACTCCTCTCCCTCAAAAGATAACCTATTCCTTTTACAACACAAACCCCACCAAATACAAAGGGGAGTGGCCCTCCAAGCATCTCTGACTCGGCTTTCCACTATACACCCTTTCCAAGTCTCTAAAAAGTCAACCATGGATTTTGGGAAAACCCATGGAAGACCAAACGCAACCAAAAACATAGACCAAACATCCCTTGCCACTAAGCAATGAATAATGTCTGCTGCAAATATAAAGAAGCTATGGGTGTTCTTGGAGGTGAAGTCACCGTTAAGGATTGGTGTTTGGAAGTTTATCCAAAAGGATTGGGATGAATTTTCAAAACATATTTGGTTCAATGTAACGAGTGGGAGGCATTTTTAATCTTGGGTGGATGCTTGGTTCGGGGATAGACCGTTAATGTGTGCTTTCTTGAGACTTTTTCAGATTGTTGTGGAAAAGCAGGTCTTGGTTGCCTACTGTTATCGGCTTGGTAGCGGGAAGTTTTTTTTAATATATAAGTAAGATATTATCAACGAGCGCTCAATAGGGAGCGCGTGCGAGACCAAGAAGGTCTGCTACACAGACAAAGAATCTACAAAATTAACTATTTCACTCACTGATTTATAATTCCCTCCCTCAACCCAAAAGAATAGAGTATAAAGAATAGAAAACTTGAGCACCCAAACCTCAACACCATCAAAAGAGTGTCTATTCCATTCACGCCACAACCCCCACCATAAACAAAGGGCACCACCCTCCAAGCATCACGGGCTTGCCTTCTCAATACACACCCTCTCCAAGCCTCTAGCATGCTCTGTGGGGACTCTAGCATAACCCAATGGACAAAAAAAAGAGCAAAAAGCATAGCCCAACTGTCTCGAGCAACTAGACCATGCAAGAGACTAACAGACTCTTCATCCTTCTAACACATACAACATCAATTGATGATGCCTCCTTCTCAAATTGCCAATTGTCAAAATCCTCCCTAGAACCACTGTCCATCCAAAAAAAGGTCACCTTGAGTGAATCTTTAGATCGTTACACTGCCTTCCGCAGGAAGATGACTGGGGATGTACAATACTACAATTTGGGAGGCATTTTCAAGATTGGGAGTTTGAGGGGCTTGATGAGTTTATGGTGGTGTTGAATCACCTGAATGTGGTTCGACAGGGGCTTGATGAGTTGTTTTGGGTGGCTCCATTCATGGGAGATTTGAGGTGCATTCTTTCTATCGGTGGCTGTTGGATACTAGAGGAAACTCTTATCCTTGGAAGGTAGTTTGGCACACCAAAGCCCCTCCAAAAGTGGTTTTTCTTGGATGGGAAGTAGCTTTGGGAAGTTCTTGACAATAGATAATCAAGGAGGCGCCAGCAAATTATAGTTAACTGGTGCTATATGGTGCAAAAGAAATGCAGAGTTAGACAATCATCTTCTTTTGCATTGCCTGTGGCTGTGATCGATGGGATATGCTCTTGGCTATTTTTTGGTGTTCATTGGGTCATATGGGATTCCACAAAGAGCATAATTGAGGCTTGGATAGATTTAGTGGGAAATTAAGCTTGAGATGTTTAGAAGGCAGCTCCCCTTTGCTTTTTGGTGGGGCGTTTGGCAGTAGATAAATAGGAAGCTCCTAGTTGGGTGCTAAAATACTCCAATCTTAATTCTTTATTCTTTCAGGTTCATGGGTGGAGTTGTAAATTTGTGGAGGAATTTGTTAGATTTTATCGATAGTTTGAGAGTAGAGTTGGCCATTTTTGGTTTTTGTGCAATTCTATCTCCCCTCTTGACCGCTGTTAATTGAAATTTTATTTGTAAAAAGAAAAGGAAAAAAAAAAAACATTGTTCTTCAGTCCCTACATTATCTCTTTACACCTCATCAATTTCAGACGTTCCTTCATGATTTTATTTTAGTGTTGGACGATCATTGTACCTTACTTCTTCTTTCAAGCTTACTTCTTCTTTCAAGCTTGTTGCATGCTTTCAAAATGTTTGATGATTTACCTCATATACTCGTCCCTACTCCAAACTGAGTGGAGAACAGAGGTTATGCTCAAATTCTTTCAAGCTTAGGAGGCAAATACATAATACACCTTAGGTCACTAAGGTAAAATCATTTAGGCAAGCAATGAAAAAGAACCGTTTACAACATTGCCAGTGAGCTACAAAATTCCAGATAATGAAATGTCCATAATAAAAAATAAAAATAAAAATAAATAAATAACTTTTTGATATGCTTTTCCTGGCACATCAAATTTCTTCTTCTAAACCAGTAATTAAAACATCAATCCAATATGACTCTCAACTTATCCATTAATTAATCCACAATCCAAGGTGTTTGCTGAATTAGCTCTATCACCAAAAAGAACCAAATATTGCTGCAACTAAATGTACTAAATTTTGAAAATTCCCATTCAAAATTTGCGCCCATTGCCTACTTCCAGCTATAGTTTCTATGTAAATGAACTGCAAACACACCGAAAATGGAAACCCAACATTGGCCGATGCCCAGAAAACACTATCGACATTTAATTTACAGAGCTTCGCACTATTGAGCTGAAGAGTCTTATATTCAAATGAAGATTATTTGAAGTTGTCATTAATATTCAACTGCAGCAGATATGAGCTGGTAGATCAAAATCGTTATGTGACGAATGTTAAGCAAAACAACAGTATAGAAATTTAGAACTATATATATGTGTGTATATGAGAAAACCTAACCTTTTCGTTTTTGAAACGTGTGCGGATGTTGCCGAGCTCTTTATCAACCCGAAGGCGTTCCTGTTCTTTGTTCTGGGAATTTCGAACGTCGCTGATGAAGACGGAGAGACCTCTCATGCCAGACAACGCCATCTTCGATCAGATCCAGCCGAGAGAGAACGTCTCAGCTGGTCCGAATCGTTCGATTCTCCCTCTCTTTCTCTAGATCCTGACCTTCCGTTTGAGGACTGAAGGGAAGACAACGGCGAGATCTTGAAGAAGATCGAAACAAATTTCAGAAGAAATGTCCCTCTAATGAAAGAAAGAAAAGAGAATGAATGTGATCTAGAGAGAGAAAATGTTTTCAGAGAGAAGATGGAGGGTACAGGAGGTGGACTAAGGAAGTTTGGAAAAGTCGTCCGCCAGTGCAGAAGAGCATGACTTCCACTCGCTCGGGGTATGCCGCGCGGTAAATACAGTAAGACAATATATTAAGAGTACAAATAAATATAAATGAAGGTGAAAAAAAAAAAAATATATATATATATATATATATATATATATATATTTGGAGCATGAAGTAATCTTCTTAAATTATTCACTAACCCCTATTTAGTAACATTTTCAATTTTGGTTTTTTTTAATTAAAAAAAAAGGTAATAAAATCCATTTGGTAACTTTATTTTGACTTTTCATATTTTAAAACTTTTGAAAATTTATTGCCATTTCCTTCACAAATCAGTTTTGGTTTCCAAATACTGTTATTTATTATTTTTCACAATTAGAGAAATATTATTTTATTATATTTCAATTATAATCAAATAGTAAATGGAATTTAAAAAATATTTTATTATACTATAATAGTAAAATTAAAAATAAAATTTTATTATTTTTCAATTATACTCGAATAATATATAACATATTATTTTATTATTTTTCAATTATACTCGAATAATATATAACATATTATTTTATTATTTTTCAATTATATCCAAATAGTAAATAAAATTTTAAAAATTATTTTTTTATACTCAAATAGTAAAATTAAAAAATTTATTTTATTAATTTTCAATTATACTCAAATAGTATATAAAATATTATTTTATTTTTCAATTGTACTCAAATAGTAAATAAAATTTTTAAAAAAATTATTATACTCTAATAGTAAAATTAAAAAAAAATTAATTTTATTAATTTTTAATTATACTCTAATAGTATATACATTTTTTTTCAATTATAGTACATAAAATTTAAAAAAAAAAATTTATTATACTCAAATAATAAAATAAATAAAAAAGTTATTTTATTATTTTTCAACTTAAAAAGTAAATAAAAGAGTCAATTTTAAAATAAAAAAAATATACCAAACATATATTCTCTTTTATCTTTTCAAATATTCAACAGATGTGCATTACCAAACTATTTTTGTATTAAAATAAATAACAACACAACTTTTTAAAAGTTGTTATTTTCACATAAATTAAAGCTTGGCCAAAAATAAAAATTACAGTGTTACCAAACAGGCCCTAACTGAAAATAAATTATAAGCTCGTGTGTCGAATTACGGATGTTAACCGGGGATAAAAGGGCTATAATCCTCTCAATGGCACCTCTCACTGGAGGGTGTCCATGGCAGATCCAAGGGTTGGGATGAAGACACGTCAACCCATCTTGCCATGTCATTGCCTTGTCAACGATGACGAAGCGCCATGTCAGCTTTAAGTTTTTAACCTTACTTTTTTTACCATGTACGAATACTGCAGGCAAAATACATACTTACCATATACGAATACAATATACCAAATTTATACGTGGGCCTAAATATACTTTTTACTTTGACGGTTTCTCTTCTCTTCGTATTCTTCTTCTTCTTCGAGCTTTTGTTCTTCTTCCTCGTCCTCTGGTTTCCCGTCCGAACCGTGCGCCGGCGGCTTCCCTTTGGTCATTCATTTTTTACTTTACTTCCTTAGCTTCTGTTATCTTCTTCTTGGTTCACCTTGTCTTCCCTCCTTCATCCTCCCTCCCTCCTCTGGGTCGTATCGTTTTCTCTTCAAGGCGGTATCGTATTTTCATTTGTCCGTCTTCCCTTTCATTTATTTAATAGCAGTTGTTGTTGTTCAGTTGGTGTTGTTATTGCATCTTATTTCGTCAAAGAAGAAATCATGTGTTTTTGCGAGGTTTTATACTGTGATTTTGCGAGGGTTTTAAGCATTTGGGGAAATACAATGGCGAGGAAAAAAACTATAACGAAGAATAAATTGGAAAAGAAATCGGTATCTAAAACAATGAACAAAGAAGATATTGCAGGTGGGGAGCAGACATTGGTGAAACAGCCTACCACAGTCTTCGTGATGTATAGGTAAATATTCCTTAAGCTGTTGAATTAAATTTATATCCACAATTGCATTTATTTTAGTATTTAGGTTTTACAAAAATTGATTGTTTTGTATAAAAATTGATTGATTAAATTAGTGTTTTTTATTGTATTTGTAGAACTGGAAATTCACATTGTGTTAATTTTAGTTGTATAACTGTAAATACACATGTTAGTATGGTATGCAATTCATGATACATTGATGTTCAAATAATTTGTGATTGTTATTTTTATAGAAATATGAAATAAAAAATGAAGTGTATCTTATTTATTGCAATAAGAAGTATGCTGCACATACACATGTTAGGAAGGTTTGTTGATGTACTATGTAATTCATAATACATTGATGTTAAAAGAATTTGTGATTGTTATTTTTTTAGAAATATGAAATGAAAAATGAAGCTGTCAAATGAAAAGTAAAATAGTAAACCAATGAATCCAAAAATAACAACTCAAAAAACAGAAAATGCAAACCCTTGTAATCAGTTCATGATAACAAAACATCAGAAATGTCAACGGTTTAATAAATAAAACATCACATCTTTAACATAATATATTCACCTGATTTTAACAGATAAAGTAATATAATACATATCCACACATTCATACATTTTTCCAACATGTGGCGCCACTAATACGAACATGTCATACAAAATATATCAAAACATACTTCAACTGAAAAGCATAACTTTTCAAAAACAAGTGTAAACATCTTTATTAATAAACCATCACAACTTTTTACTAATATTCTCACAAATTTTACTTATAAAGCCTTGTAATCAGTTCATGGTAACAAAACAGCAGCAAAAAATAGGGTCTCCTACAATGTCCACCTCAGCAAAGCACAAACAAAAGACAGTAACAAAAAACCACAATTTATATAGTAATATCTTGTTAACTAGCATTATGTACTATGACAACATGAAAAAACTTGTGTGTGGCCATTAAATTAGAAAGAGTGCAAACATCCAAATGTAATCTAGCATTTGTTTCCTTCCAAATAGCCCACAAAGATGCTGCAAATAAAATTTTCAAAGCCATTGAACTCTGATACTGAGAATTAAACCAGAGAAAAAGCTCCCAAACTGTGTTAACAGCTGCAAACAATTCCATATTCCAATGGAGGACTTTAGTAATCTATATCAGTTTATGTGGTTTAGACTGAATACTGATAGAGTCAAGATAAGCCCTGAAAGGAACAAGCAAATCATCTTCTAACAGAGCAAAATTCTAGCCTCCATTCAGTATAATACTCTGCATTAAAACATCCTTGTGTAAACATAACCTTCTAGGCAGCGTATGATCAAATTTTTGTGCAATTGTTAACCCCTCACTCCAAGGGTCAAGAAACAATATAATTTCCTGGCCACTTCCAACTTGATAAGAAACAAATGTCAACATAGTTGCTTTAGCCTCCACAATAGCCTTCCAAATAACAGACTTAGAACTTGTCGGTACCACATTCCAGATAATTGAGTTAGCACAATATTTATGACGAAACCAAGACACCCATAACCTATCCTTATTGAGTAAAAAGTCCCAAGCCAACACAATTCTAGACACTCTTTTAAGATCAGACAGCTTCCTAAGGCCAAAACCTCATTTAGTTTTTGTATTTGTAACAATATCCCACTTCAGCAGATGTATTTTATTAGCATGAGCAGTACTCCCCCACAAAAAATGTCTACATAATTATTGAATTTGATTTGTCACAGCGACAGGGACATTAAAACTGTTACACCAGTAAAGAAAGACAGGATTCACCATTGTTTTAATCAACTCTAACTTACCAGCAAGAGACAACAGCTTAGTATTCCAATGAGAAATCTGTTTAATAACCTTATCAACAAGATCTTTACAATTATCTCCTTTAAGAGCTGAAGAACACATAGGTAGGCCTAAAACATAATTAATAGATAATTTGTATTGCATATTATCATCTGTTGTTGGACATGGTAGGAAAGTTAGTTTGTTGATGCAATATACATTCATTTAATAACTATTGAGTCGTCTAAAAAGTTGATAATAAAATATTTATTATGATTATAAGTCTGATTATATAGCCAAGTATCGGAAAGCTAATAACAAACTTGGAAGGATATCGAAGGCTCTGATGAATTCAATGCACAATGCTTGCAAAATGGCATGGAATGGAATGTCATCTAATGAGAAAGAACCGTGGGTAAGGGGAAAAAAAAAAGATTAATGGAAGAGTATAAGAAGCTTGCTTTGGAAAAAAGAGCTCCAATTAAAGAGAATGTAATTATATTTTGTTGGACTGATTTAATTTTATGGTTAAATTCTCTGAAAATATTATATGCATGATGTTTGTTTTTTAATGGTATGGCTTTGAAGCAGAAGAGAAAGGCCAAGAAAATTGCTCATCCAGGGGCGTGGCACAGATGCACCGTTTCCAAGTTTGTTCAAACTATTGCACAGCTTGATGACGATAAGAGAAAAGCTATGGAGGACATTGGATTCGGAAATTTATTGAAGCCAAAATGTACATATATGTCTCGGGACTTATGCATGTACTTACTAAAGAATTATGACCCTGATAATTCTTGCATAAGATTTGAGGACGGAGGCTTTATATCAATACATTCAGCCAATGCGCACTCGAATCTTGGGATTCCATTTGGAGTTCCAAATGTTCCCATAAATGTCCACTTCTACGATGCGGAGTGGATAGACGAAGGTGGTTACTTCAACACTGGCGGAATCCATGAGGAATTGTTGTTTGACCAGGTTTTAAAGTTAAAGGCAAGTGATGAATTCAAGAAAGCATTTGTCTTTTTTGCTTGCTCTACTTTACTAAGTCCTATTGGCAGAAATACATGCCACTGGGGCTTGTTGAAAAGTGTTGATGATGTTAATGATATCAGTACTTACAACTGGTGCGGTTATGTCTGCGATTGTTTGTTAAGAACAATGAAACCACGTACAAATAGGAAGGTGAAAAAGTCATATGGTGGTTGTTTGATGTTTTTGCAGGTATCATTACTTTCAACATTTGCTTTTCTTTTCTTCAGATTTCCTTTTTATTTACTTTGTTTGTTGTAATTAAAAACAGCTGCTTTATATGATGCGC